AAACAATTACTTAGGAAAATCCAACTTGAATATTATTTTACAGTCATCATCTAGTAATGCTCTGACGTTTTCTCTTCCACAATTGGTTGTAGACCAGCATTCCACAGAAAGTGTATTTCCATTGGAAACAAGTCAGGGAAAGTCAGTTACAGCTAATGGAACAGGAGGAGCTCATTATAAGCCCTGTAACGCTGACCCAAGGTCAGAAGTGACAGTGAGCCTGTGGGAACATCACAAATGAAAATTGCGCATCTGCGCAGTTTGAGATTTGCTCAGCATCAGCATATTTTACATTTTTAATCAGATGGCAAGCAAGAAAACAAAATTTGAAGGGAAGAAATTGAAGCCAATTTAGTTATTAAATGATGTCAAGTCATCTTCATTATTGAAGAAAATGCTCTCAGAATTTTTGCTTGAATCTTGAAATAATTATTCTTCAGCCTGTGTCAGGATCAATCTAACCAACAAGTATTTATTGACTACCTGCTAAAGTATGTCTGGCAAATGAATCAAAATAAAACAAATAGGGCTTCCCTGGTGGCGCAGTGGTTGAGAATCCGCCTGCCGATGCAGGGGACACGGGTTCGTGCCCTGGTCCGGGAAGATCCCACATGCCGCGGAGCGGCTATGCCCATGAGCCATGGCTGCTGAGCCTGCGCGTCCAGAGCCTGTGCTCCGCAACGGGAGAGGCCACAACAGTGAGAGGCCCACGTACCGCAAAAAAACAAAATTAAAAAATAAATAAATAAAAGAAATAAGACTTGTTCTTGAACACAAGTACTCTATAAAGAACAAATGGATTGTGGCATATGCTTTTTCCTCCCTAATCACTTCATTTAAGAACATGGAAATATAAATAAAAATTATTTCAAGTCCCTTAATGTAATGTTTTATCTCTTCATATAACCTAAATATATGCATTAGCTGTGAATTTTACAGTTTTCCCATTAACGAGAATTATGTTTGGTGATTATTTCACAATATATACAAATATTTAATTATTATGTAACAACACCTGAAGCCAGTATGTCAATTATATCTCAGTTTTAAAAAAAGCTAGAAAACTGCTTCCAGTTCTTCCTTCTCCAGGCCCAGTGACCACACGTCACATGTTTCAGAAGGCAGAGCTACAGGATGGAAGAAGGCAGCACAATCTATGACAGGAGAACTAAACCGTTGCTGCACACATGCAAAAAGTATGTATCTTTTGATTTTGTTTTTATATTGTGCACATGCACACGAACGTGTGTGTGTGTCTGTGTAGTGTGTGTATGTGTATGTCTGTATCTGTGTCTATGTCGTGTGTGTGTGTATGTGCATCTGTGTGTCTGTGTGGTGTGTGTTTGTGTGTACCAATACTGAGCAGACAAATTTGGAAATTTTGGTTAAATGTATTAGTTTCCTGGTATTTCCTGAAGATAAAATTCAGGGAAAAAAAAAAGAAAAGTTTCCATTGAATTGGAACTTCTGTAAACCGAATGCCAGCTATGCGTAATGCCTCTGGTCTGTTCAGTTCACACTCCTTAGAACGCTGTACAGATACCCTCCACAGACTTTCCAGCAACCAGGTTGGCAAAAAAAAAAAAAAGAGGAAATGGTTTTTTAAATGAACCAAAACCCTTTAACTTTATATTTGAGCAGCATGTAAACACTCCCTGCCTGAGAAATTTTAAATCCTCCTACTTGGGAAAGGGGAAATGTGTCTCAAGGTCAAACTCCCTCTCACACAGCCCTCTTCTACTTGTTAATGGGCTTCCTCAGACTTTAAGGTCTGATAATAATGAAATTTGGAAATAATTTAACTGTTTCAAAAATACAGTGATTGCTGAAGTCCATTTACAATGGAATGTCTGTCCCCTATCCACAGAAATTCCTGGGGAAAGTTTAGGCTGTTACAGTGTCGTATAAGGTCAAAGGTTCTTTTTTAAAAAAATATTTATTTATTTTGGCTGTGCTGAGTCTTAGTTGCAGCATGCGGGCTCTTCGTTGAGACTTGCAGACTTCTTGGTTGTGGCATGCATGCGGGATCTAGTTCCAATCAGGGATTGAACCCAGGCCCCCTGCCTTGGGAGTGTGGAATCTCACCCTCTGGACCACCAGGGAAGTCCCAAGGTCAAAGGTTCTTAATCTCTCCATCCACGTGCTGTTTGATGTTTTTATACCTAAGCCCTAATTTATTCTAATTAGGCTTTTAACTTAGTTTATATTTTCATCATTTAAAATCCTTGCTATAAGACACAATCTTAAGGCAATATATAGTATGGCCCATAAAATGATGAGACTGATTGTTGCACTGGGCTTAGGAAAGTAAGTCCTGCCACTTAAGAAAGTCTTCTTTCAGAGTGCCAATTGTCTGGTCTGTCTGGGATGACACAAAGATTTCTTCAATCATTCTGGGTCTACCAGCTAAATAAAAACAAACTCACGATGTGTGAGACCAATAAGGTCAGTGGTATTGTGTGCGCAGGTGTCTCCAGGAAAAGGAAGAATACAATTGCATTTGATTCCAGAGGGAGCTTCCCTGTGTTCCTCTCCTATCTCTCTGCTATGATCTGCAGTTCATTGGGATTCAAAGTTAGGGACAGATGCCGAAATGCCATTCCTGATGCCAACTGGCTTACTTAACTCCAGGCTTTTAGCCAGTAAATAAATCAATCACTCTTGTCCTGAATCTGTCTTTATAAAGGTATATTATCTCCAGTTCAAGCTTTGTATTGCATCCCTAAATTCACACTATGAAGGCCTTGGAAAGCCCAAGGCTCCTGAGTAGATGGCCTGGGGCCCAAAGCAAATGAATGGTTGCCACACTATACTCTGTTCCATGAGTTCTTGGAGCCAGGCCCTCCTCCCACATGCATCCTGCCAACAAGGTTTCTGCTACGGCTTTGGGAGCCCAGAAAAACTCAGATGAACTCTGTGTGTGTGTGTGTGTGTGTGTGTGTGTGTGTGTGTGTGTGTATGTATGTGTGAATGTGTGCATAAAAACACATCTTTCCTGACCTCTAACTCTGAAATGATTAGCACAACAAACTGACTTTTGTAAAACAAGTATCTGATGTTCTTGCTTTTTGCCTGATTTTACTATGCTTTAGGGGAATCTTGGCATAGGACTTTCACTACCCTGTTTCAGAGGCTATGTCAAAGCTGGATGGTAACCACTATAAAGGATCTCAATAATTACAACGTGATATTCAAAGAAAGTCAATCACACGATGTTATAATAAACAAGCACCAGGCAGCTCCATGAGGGCAGGTTCTTGCCTCCATTGTTCACTGCTGATACCCCCATGCCCAGAACAGGATCTAGCATGACAAAGCATCAACAAATAATTGGAGAAATGACTACTATTTATCGAAAGCCTACCATTTTTCAGTCATGCAGATGACACACTGCATAACTTGTCTCTCTATTCCTTATAACAAACAATGCCATGTGATGGACGTTATAATAAATAGCTTATAAATAAGGAAAGTGAGGTTTGAAGAATTTCACTGACTTGCCTAGGTCACATAATTAGTAACCAGGAAGGAGCTATTCAAATCTAGGTCTGTCTGCCTTTCTAGCCCATGTTCAGTCCACTTCATCATGCCTTCACCCCAAGAGTAGAAGCAAATTATAGATTGGCTCTTGATCTTGCTATGACACCAAATTAACATATTTGCATATTATTTTGGATTCAGAAACACCTCCAGGTGACAAGGACTCTGTAAAGGGCTGATGGAATACAATAGGAGAATAGAAGGCTCCAATCATATATATATATGATTGTATATATACATCTGTGTGTAGGAAGGCAACAGAGTTCTGGCTTTCTCACTTCCCTATTATACTGCTAAAATCTCACTGAGCCTAAATATCCTTATCTGAAAACTGCATAAGATGAGTCTTGCCTCACTGAATTAAATGGGAAATGCATATACATACAGCAAGAACCCAATAAGTGCAGACTATTGCTAACCCAGAATTATCTTCAGACTTATATAAATTTGATTGCTTTTAGAAAAGACAGAATATTTTTAATGGGAAGACTATACAATTACTGTCAGCACGAACATATGCCTATTTTCCCCTTCAAGAATTTGTCCCTTTGTCCAGCAATCCTACTGATGAAATTTTAAGTGGAAACCCCCTTTTTAAAAAAGGCTTGTAGGGGAGAGGAATGAAAGGTGTTTAAAGTCTGAATCCTCACTCATGGTAGAGAAGGACCTTGGACATTATAGATTAATGAATAAATTAATATTCATCATCTGGTGAGTCCCAAAGGTTTCTTTCCTTTGCTCTGTGTAAGGCTTTTCAGGAAATAAAATTGCTTAAAAGAACATCTTCACTAAACATGGGTTAGAAAAAATAAAGTTTTGTTTTTGTTTTGTTTTTCTTCACAAAGCTGGCAGTTTTAGAATTAATCACCTAATGTCTTCTGGACATGACATTTAGACTATCTCCCTTAAGACAGAACCAGCTTAGAAAACCTTCTTACTGTGAGATGAGCAAATTCTGCCTTGTTCCAAATTTAAGACATTCTGAAATGGCTTTTGCTATGCTGCCTGGAGATCCCCGGTCACCCTTTGCATTTCAGCTTGAGTCAAGGCTTTCCAAATAAACCAAGCTATGCCGATTGAGCGTTCAGCCTCATGTGATTTCACTCTCTGAACAATTCTTCCTGTCCCTTCAGTGAATCAGTTTAAACTCGCCAAAGAGCAAGTAATACAAGTTAGAAGTTTGAATTCAACATTTACTCTCCACTACTAAAGACTTCTGTAGTAAAACTCATCAAGCAAATGGCTTCAAAGCTCTCTTTTCTGTATCTCTCCCACAATCAGGCCAAAAACAAACATTTTCATCATTTCTCTCTCCCTCTCTCTCTCTCTCTCTCTCTCTCTCTGTCTCTCTCTCTCTCTCTCTCTCTCTCACACACACACACACACACACACACAGAGCCAAGGCCAACTTGGTTTTGAAGTTTCTCAAATAGTAACAACATCCACAAGATGATGCCTACCTTTCTGAAACTTCAGTCCACAAAGATGCCCCTTGGTTGTGAAGAGACAGAGCCAGACTCTCAGTGCTCCAGCCAGCTTTGTTCTCATCAGAGAGCAACACACCTCAGCTCTGTGTAAGCTCTGAAATTCTTTCAGAGACCCACCCTCTAAAGTTGCAGGTCAAGATTTCTGACTGAGGGCAGTCAGTGACGTGAGGCACAGCTACTGGATGGCACCTTCAGATTCTTTCCTGATGCAATGTTGTTTCCTGTTTGACCACATGGAGAGGAGAAAACTGGAATTCAGTGGGACACCGAGTCACAAATGCATCAACTGCTTCATCATCATTGCATTTCAGTGCACACAGTCATTAGTCAACTACTGAACAGGATAGTCTTGCTGTTTGTATTAAAAGGAAGGGGTTTATGTGGCAGAAAGAGACCTGCAACACTGCTGACAGCCCTGCACTATCCTCTGAGCTAGTCTGACAGCCGTAGTACTCTCCAGAAGCCTGGAACACAGGCAGGGCTTTTTGCTAACTAAATCACTACCACCAGCACTGCACCACAAAACTCATTACCAAGGAGCATCAGTCTCAGAAATGCAACTTTTCCACCTGTTTCCTAGCAATTGAAAAAGAAAACCCTTTTTTGAACCATAAAATGACCAAAAAAAGAAAAAAAATCAGATCATCTTTTCTTTTTAGAATAGTTGGATGCGATTCGCTTTGTTTTTATTTGTGTCTCAAAGAACAATCATCACAGACAAGGAAAGACAAATCTATTAGTAGCACAATATAAATGTTGTTTGTCTGCTTGAGACACTTCAACTTTAAAGGCAAGTGTCCCTCATTTTATAGTGTTTATTTGAGATGTTGCACCTTTTGGGGCCATTTTCACTTTCTCTTGCCTGAAGATGAAACTGCTGCAGGCGTGGATTATTTAAAGGTGCTTTGACAAGAAAACTTCAACAAGTTTATTCCTGTCCTCTTATAAGCTGAACCTTGCCTCCCAGAAGGTCTGGGCAGGAGGTGCTGCCTCCTCTGAATGCCTGATTCGAAGCTCTTCTCATTGGCTGACTTCAACTGCTGAAAGACAGCTTTTTTCTTCTATCAGCTTAATAGCTAAGAGCAAATTAAAAGCTGACTAGAGACGGAGAAGGGGAAACGCCAGTTTCAAGTTCTTTGAAACTCCATAGTTTCTCAAATTTCTCTAATGAATTCAGTTCAAAGAAGGAAGCCTGGTCAAGGCCCTTTCACTCAACACTTGCTCACTCAGTTCTCCTAGGCTGTTTTTCTCTACCCAGACTTTCTTTTTTCTATTAAGGTGGTCATAAAATTTAAAGCTCATCTGGCAGGTGGTGAACTTCCAGCAGAGTGGGCACTAAATGCGCAGATTGTGGTTCAGACCCTCATCAGATCTTGCCAGGAGACTATGCAGAGTTACCTCACACTATCCATTTCTAGTCTATTGTCTTCTAACTGCCACCAGACTTATTGTAATAGGCAAGAACAAATCTAACTTCATGTTGGATCTGTTTCTTTTTCTTTAAACCTTGTATTCTATTGCTTTGGCTACAAGTTAAGAATGTTGCCTATAGCCTGAAATATACAGGATAGCTCATTCACAAGGCTCTGACCTTTAAATATATAACACTTTTCCATTCACATGGAGATAAAAAGTTGCAGAACAGAGAATAACATTTGTCTTGTTGGAAGTTTATAGGATCATTGTGACTGGACCTCTGCAAGGACAAAGGATTCTGGCACCAAGAAACTGCAGAACCAAATGCACCCCCAGTATAAAAGAAGCTTGAATTCTAACTCAGGGAAGATGGTTCTTTGGGACACTAGTCCACTATTTTCTTGGTCTGCTGGCTTTCTGAATAAAGTTGCTACTCCTCACCCCAACAACTCATTTCTCAGCTTATTGGCCTGTTGTACAGTAAGCAGTACGAGCTTGGACTGTGTAACATTATCTTCCCAATTAAGTTTTTTTTCTTTATCATGTCTCTTTCCCCTGCTGATAGAGCTCCACCAGCCACCTTTTCCTATAGGTCTCCTTAGCACAGGAGATAGCTACTCCTCCAGAATCTTCTCTTGTCTCTTCCCACTACCTTCCAGGCAAAGCAAACAGGCAGCTTCCATGCCCTTCCATTGACTGCTCTCTGCCCTCTCTGAGTGATGAAAGTCTGACTCCCCTGCCAAGTCCTGCAGCTTTCAGCCCTCCCTGTTCTGTGTTTATACCTATATTACAATGCTCACTCTACTATTACTACTTAGCTGGTTCTGTATCTGCTTCCCCACTACACTGGGAATCCCTCTGGGACATGCCTTACACATCCTTATATTCCTGGAGCTTAGCACAGTGCTGAGCTGTTCAATACTTGTCAACAGTTAACACTTGTCAACAGTTAAATTGTGGGCATCAAACACTCAATTTCACTTTGCAGATATCTGGGGAAGAGGATACTCCTGAACTCTACTCTGGATGCCCTTTCTCAGAATTAAACAAGCCAAGAGTGTTGTAGGACCACATTTTTTTGTTTGTCAATTATATAACTAAATACATGTCATCTACTGATGAGATACAATGTTCAAATCAAATATGAAGTATTTATACATAGCTCAATACCTTCTCTATCATTAAAAGAATTTCACATCTGCTGTATTTTTTGAGTCAAGGTCAAGGTGTAGTTCCTCCTTCTTTAGAGACAGATGAAAAACCTATGCAACAGGGGACAACAGCTAGAGGGATGGAAGAGAGGAATTCTGGAGGTTTGCTAGTTGTGACTTGGGGGAGCTGTGAATTGGGGGAACTCCCAGACATGTAAGCCTCATGTCTGGGAGTTCCTCTGAGGAAGATAAATAAATATAAACATGGTTCTTTCCAGGACTCCTACAGTAATGCTTTTCTTTTTCTCTTTTTTTTTCTCTCTTTCTCACTTGTGCTTCATAATAAATGTATCAGTTCATTGCTAACAGAAAACAGAGAACCTGAAGGAAGCATGATAGAGCAAGATGCATGTGTGGGTGTCACTTCTAGACGATACTTAACTGTTTCATTTTATGAGAAAACTTTAGGAGTTAAGACATTGAATCAGTTTTATATATTTGAATCTACATTATGGATATTAAATCATTTATTAAAATCTTAATGATCATTGCTTTTTAAAAAGTGAATATTACCTCTGACAATTAAATGTAGGCAATTAAGCCTGATAAGAGTGGAGAAGTTTCGAGGGGAGCAATAGGGGGTACATTACAAAACTGATGCGTTTTTACACACAGACCAATCTTGTCACTAAAGGTTACTAAAGTATATAAAGGATATTTCACAGAGTAAAAGAGGGGCAGGGGATAAGAGCAGTGTGGACTCAGGTAAATCCAATCAAGATTCTGGAAGGCTACTTAGGATCTCAGAAGAGGAAAACAGAGGAAGCAGGACACAGGAAAATGGACTGTGGGCCCCAGCAGGAAGCCGACTAGACATGGTGCCACAGCTCTGCTAGCAAGGAGCAGAGGGTACACAGCTGCACGTGGTGTGGGTGTGGAGGAACGGGAAGTGGGGCAACTTCTGATATTCTAAGCTGCATGTTATGTTTGACACTGAACCTTAATCTAACTTTCCAGAGAAGAAAATATAAGTTTAATAGAACTGATCTGCTTTTCTCCTCAAAGGAGAAAATCCCTTCCAAGAAACATAATGAATACAGTTTTGGCCATGTCGATCTTAACCTAACCAGTCAAATTTTCTGAGCTTTTGCTATCAACAAACTCTGTTTTCTTGTAATGTTTCATCTCATCGTTTTCACAGAGTTTTCAAATGCAAAGGTTTGCTCAGAGATAGAAATACTAACTCAAAATGCTACCAAACCGTGTATTCTTTAAATAGGTATATGGGAAAACTCATATGGGATATAATGAAACAAGGAAATGTCTGCACAAATACCTACACCGATTGAAAAATTGACATAAAATAGTCCCCCTGCCTCCATGATTCAATCTCCACAGTAGATTACAGACTGTAGGAACTGAATTGTGTCTCCCTTACCCCAACCACCAGGGTCCACACTTTCCCTGGCCCAGTGTTGCAAGGGTCCCTGACAGGTGATTTGAGAGGCTACTTCGTGAGAAAGTGAGGAAACTGAAGAGAGAATCATCAGAACTAAGGGTTCTCCTGCACTCAAGTGCCCTCCCTTTCCCAAAGCTCCATCCCCTCTCCTGCTTTGTTTCCCCTGGTCACTCCTCACTATCTCTTACTTCTTTGTTTTACTGTCTGTCTCCCCATTAGAATGGCAGCTCCATGAGGACTGGGACTTCTATCTGCCTTGTTCACTGCTGAGTCCTCAGGAGTCCAAACAGTTCTTGGCAGAGTGGACACTCAGTGCTGAGAGAGTACATTCAGTTATCTAGCTATTTACCATTGTAACTTCCTCTCTACCACAACGGGTAGTTACTTTCTCAAAGGTAATTCACTGGGCTTTTTCAAAATTGAAAGTCGGCATTTGTGTGTCGAGAAGATGGCCAGTTCTACTTTGAGCTTGTTAGGAGAAGGGGAGAGTCTTCCCTTGAAGACTTAAGTCTGTCACATATTGAGTACTTGAAGCAAAGGAACTTTAGAATCCAGCTGGCACATTCTCTGGGAAGGCTGTGGTGTCACGTGCCAGCCAGATCACACATCTCCACAGCTTCGTTTACCACCCCCAGTGATGGCCAGCAGATGGTCTCTGCCTCAGTGATGGGGCAGGCCACATCTCAACTCGCCTCCTGCAGAAAGGTTTTGTTGCTAAGCCCCAGTGCCACTTTGTGCTCATTATGTGATCTTATTCTTATTGACTGTGTGAGTCTAGACAAGTCATTTAACCTCTCAGTTCCTCAGGTTTCTCAACTGCAAAATGGGGAAGACAACAGCAATACCTTATAGAGTTAGGAAAACATTAAATTAGTTAATATCCATCAAAGCACTTAGGAGAGTACCTGGCATATAGTAAGCACTCTGTGAATTTTAGCTATGATTATAATAATAATTATTATTAATATATTTAATCTATAGGTTTTATTCCTATGTTTATTCCTAATAGACTTTATTTCTTGCACATAGACTTAGTTTCTCCAATTAAATCTTGAGTATAAGGACTGTATAAAGTTTCCAAGTAGCACCCATTACCATTCTCTGAACAGAGTATT